GAAAATTCTTTCAAGGTTTGGAATCTTTTACTAGGAGAGTAAACTAATGCAAAACAAAGGGGGCACAGGCAAAGGCGGAATCCACACGCTCTTGTAGAAACAAAAAGGAAGAGAGCCTGGCAACAAAGTAGAAACAAGATTACAAACACAGCACTGGGAATTTAACAACAAACATGTACCTCTAGGAACGACAAAAGATAACCTGACACAGACAAGTGGGGAACTGAGGCTTAAATACAGGTGGGGGTGATTACAAACTAAACTCAGCTGTGGGGGGAAACTAGATACAGGAAGTGCCGTGGTTACAAAAATAAAACAGGAAGTTAATCTTCACAGTCTCTTCGAGTCGTCACAAATGTTCTTGTTCTTGTCTCGTTCCCCTGAACAACTGTACATGCAGTTACGCGACGAGAAGCCCAACTGGTCTCCTATCTGTCCCGCAATGGGAACTCCATGTAACGCATATAGGTCTCTCTCTGGTGAGCCCTTATGTACCGAGGGAATTTACCTTAAATTACACTATGGGCTGTCTCTCAGAAATTGCTACTGGGATTCTTGCTATGTCACAAGGACACATGAGAATCACAGGATTACACGTCAGAAGAAAATCAATCTTGTCAAACGCAAAGCAATGCGTTCCTGTCAGGCAGGACAGTGTAGAGACCCATCGGCCACCTGCTACTGGCAGGTGAGGGAGTCTGAGGGAGTCTGAGATGTAGATGCTGCGTAAGAGTATTTCCAACTTGCTGGTCAAAAACAACAGTAGAATAAACATACCTGAACAGTTCAGTAAAACAAATAACAGTTTTACAAATCTGTTACAACAATTCAATTCCAGACTGCTTGAATGCTTTTTGTAATGGTACCATTATTTGTGTAGTGTAACAGGCTTTGCGTGTTTTATAGCGGATGTCCATTCACCTTCTAAACTGGTCATTGCAGAGCAATATAACAGACAAAGAACAGGTGACAAAACATAACAAAATCGCCAAGCCAAATCGTTACCAACCCAGCTGTGAGCACAAGGCAAACTTAGCTAGTACCTGGGGTAAAACACCACGTGTTCCTCTTATCTGCACTGTGTCCCAAGAGCAGATGCATTCCAATACAGCCCCAAAGCACTTTTCTATCCTGGCGACATCACTTTTGATAAAAACATTCCTGCCGGGGAAACAGGGCAAAGTGTGATAACTGCTCAGTAAAAGTGGTGTTACCATGACTGTGGTTAGCAGTGCACGGAGACGATTGCTTAGGAAGCTCCTTCTTAGCTAGTACCTAAATAGTCCACTGGCCGGACAGCACTCTCTAAACGAGGGGGCCTAATAAATCAATCGTGATTGCCCAGTCAACCACAAAGTCATTGCGGGTAGATCACATGCATTTCGAAATGAGATTTTAGCCTATCATCCATCCTCCCCATGGCATTTTCCATTTGATTGACCTGCATGGCAGCCAGTCTAAGACAACGTCTTTTCTAACAAACAGATCACCGCGCATGCATGGTCAATGAAGTAATCTATTGCAAAATTCTGGCGAGCTAATTAGTTAGCCTTCCAATCTATTTCAACTAAAGAAAGTACGGTTAAGGCAAGGCAAGGCAATTTTATTTGTATAGCGCTTTTCATACATAAGGCAGACTCAAAGTGCTTCACATACAATAAAGTGAAATAAAATGCAGGAATTAAAAGACAATTAAAAACAGCAAATAAAATTATAAATTAAAATCTTATTTAAATTGTTTAATTAAAGGCAGAGGTTAAAAGTGCAATGTAGGTCAAATTTAGCAGAAGGCGAATCTGAACATAAAAGTTTTCAGTCTTGTTGTAAACGTGGTCAGAGTTGGGGCAAGTCTTAAATCTTCAGGAAGTTTATTCCAGCTGTTTGTTGCGTAGTAACTAAATGATGCTTTCCCATGATTTGTATTTACTCTGGGAATCACTAACAGATTGGTGTCAGAAGATCTTAGTGATCTTGAAGGCTTATGTAGTGGAAGCATATCAGTCATATACTTTGGCCCTAAACCATGTAGTGATTTATTTGTGAGCAGTAGGATTTTGAAATTAATTCTCTGACATACTGGGAGCCAATGTAAGGATTTAAGAATTGGTGTAATGTGCTCACATTTTTTGGTCTTTGTTAGAACTCTAGCAGCAGCGTTCTGAACAAGCTGGAGCTGCCTGACAGTTTTTTTTTGAAGACCTGCAAGGAGACCATTACAATAGTCTAGTCTACTAGTTATAAAGGCATGTACAAGTGTTTCTAAGTCTTGAGCTGAAATGAGCCCTCTAAGTCGTGCTACATTTTTGGGGTGGTAGTAGACCGATTTTGTTACTGATTTGATGTGACTCTCCAAGTGTAAATCTGAATCCATAATAACCCCCAGATTTCTGGCTTTAAGAAAAATGCAACAGGTGCCCTCATGATTTGGGAATTGCCAAACCGCCACTCAGAGCAGCAAATGCAATGGAAGGCGTGTACGCAACTTCACAGGGCGTGCTATACAGAGCAGATTGACACTGTATATCAGAGCCGAAAACTGCTTTCGAGACTTTGCTTTCCTTGAGCTAGTCGCTAGGTTTATGTGCATTCAAGGTGTGTGCATACCTTATATTGCTGTACCTTAAACATGTAAGGTAATGTACTCTTCTTCACCAGTCTGTTCTTAGCATATGACTGACTGACACTTGTAAACAAAACTAACCAAATTGCAATACTATCTAGATGAGTACAATACTAATTGGAACTGAACCAATTGAACACATTTGTTCTATCTAGTAACATTGACTACTTACCTATATATACACTGTATGTAAAGCAATATATTATAGCAGTTCGTTCTTAGAAGTTATCTTGAAACTATGGCAATTGTAATCAAGGGGGTCACTAAAACACCTTTGACTCAGGTTGGGCATTTGGGTTCCACTCAGCTTTGTGTTCTCTCTCTTTCCCCTGCTTATCTGCACGGTCTCTGCCTCCTTTTCAGCAAAGACAAAAAGTATTCCAAACTGTGTTTTCAAAGATCGACATCTTGACAAATAATTGCATCTGTTTGATATTGATTTTTTTGCATTTTAAAGGCCCAGGAGGAAAATAATTCTCCAGCAAATCATACGTTTTTCCAAAACAATGGGCATCAACAATGGGCATCGGATGTAAGAATGAAAAGAATGTCTGGGCATGACTGCCTTTGTCATGGTTAAATGGAGTTTCAGCCTACGGAACTCGGTGTTGTTTTTGTTTTGTAGGAAAAAAAACAGGCGCAACTCAACTGGTTTTACACAACTTGATTGGTTGATGCCTTTATTTGCATTGCCAAAGCCCAGGGAAACTGGACTCCTTCCAAAAAGCTTGTTGCTTTTACTCCTGACAAACTCCATAGTTAATATTACAATAACAATATTACAATAACTATATTGACATGTTAATGAATCACAAGAAGGATCAGCATGTGTTAAGGTCTTAACTCTTACAACATTTTTCAAAAATCTGAAAAAATACATTTTATAGGGTAGTCGTGAAACAAAATGAGTGCTTCAGACAGACGGCAATTAAGAACAAAGGTATTAATGCTGTTGACCAGAAAGTGTCGTTAGAGAAACTGCTCTTGTTTAAAAAAACAAACTGTGTCCCTCACAACTTCAGTTTAATGTATAAACTGGAGGAGGCATGGAAGTTAACAAAGGGTGTTTATTTCTCTCACTAAGCCCGTGGGGACAATGTTATAATTGTCTTAATTTCTCATTTTCTGCAGATGTTTTTAATGGATACACAATGCTGGATGTAATGAGACACACGGAATACAGCAAATATCCAAGATGATTGACATTGACAATTTTCCTTCAAAACCTCTGGTTTGACACTACTAAAGTCGCTATAAATAAATAGCAATTTAGCAATGTCAGTTGGCTGGTCTGTTGGTCCTGTTGTCTGTTTATTTCAGTCCTTTGTAGAACAATGCAGTGTTTTATATCATGCACTGCTGTCATTTACCTCAAACTGAATGTGTTTTGTTGACAGGAAAAGATGTGTGTCAGGATACCAGTGAGCAAAACCCGTTAGCTGGCTGTGGTTTCATTAATTTAAGGGACACTGTGCAGATCTTCAACCAGTACGACTACGTGTTGTACTCTTCATCCTCCTGATCCCAAAGTAAGGGATGAAGGTGTTTGTGTGAAGTCAAACGTTCCTTGGTAGCTCCGTATCGTCTCAGCGTCTCAACAACAGGCCTGCCAATGTTTTAGCAGTCAAATTAAATGCGAAGGATTTGATTTACATTTGCCCTCCCCTAACTGCACTGTTTGCCGTTTCACTTTGAAATGCATCACAGTGCGGAAGGTAAAGACACTCTTACCTCCGATTAACTGGGACTTTAAAACAGGTCAGACATTTTCTTTTAACACAAATACATATTCTCAAGAAAGTGAAACCTCAGTTGAGTTAAGATGCTCGATCAGTGAGAACCAAAAAGGAGTCAAAGCTAAACAGAGAAGCAGCATTTAGTATCAATGCATCTTGTATTTGAACCGCTGACTTTCTGATGACTGTCAATCCCTTGTGATTCATGTGGAGCCACCTCCAAGCCAAAATGTCATTTTCATGAGACCTTCTCACACATCCACTATTGGTGTTATAACCTATAGAGCATCTTTACTTTCACTCTTATTGCTGGACACAATTACAAAAGTATGTTCAATATTCAACACACATTTAGCCACGCAACAAAGTCCATTCCTCCCGTTTCCCCTGAAGAAACACATTTCATGTAGAGAGAGAAAACATGAGCGCGCTTCCTCCTTCACAGTATGTCATTCTTGTCCCTCAAAGAGTTCTGTTCCTCACATAAGACAAGATTCTCTCGAAGTTAAGTCAAGGTCACCCAAACATCTCCGCTCATGCGGCGCGTATTGTCGGGTAGTTAAACGAGAAACAATCCAGCGGTGGAGATTCGCGGTGACGCATGCAGGCTGGTCAGCGCGCGACCAAAGCGGCGCTCTTCTTACCTTTTCGTCGCTGGAGAACCGCCGGCTGTGCTGCGCCGCTCCCGCGCTTTGGTTCATGGTTCAGCACCGCGGACAGCTCCGTTCAGCAGGGAAAAGAAACGATCACAGGGACCGAACCGAACGGGATGCTGGTATTCGTTCCGAGCTGTTTACTGGTTCATCCGTCTTCCCGGTGACACGCGCGGGTTGTCGGCCAATGATGCGGCGCGCGTAAAGAGCGGTGCTGCGCCAGATGTGAGGCGACAGTTACACTCCAGCCAAGTGAGCCGTGGACTCAGAGACATCATAATATTCTGTACCAAACAATATATTTAGTGTCTGGACAGAAGGGGGTTTTCTATCATACGGCATGCACTTTTCATTTGTGAACAATAGCATTTTGAAAGACCTGATGAAAAACTGTGGTATAAAACTGGAAGCTTCTCCTAAATGTTTTTTCCTGGCTCTGGGGACAGCTGAGAAGAAAGATCTGAGAACCAGCATTGTGTATTTCTTTCTTTTAGTGATAGTGAGGAGCAAGACAGCAGTGTTCTGGGGAAACTGCAGTTGTCTCATTGATTGCTATATTTAAACACGTACTTGTACATTATGTCTGCTTCAAAAGGCATGAATGCTTTTTTGAAGTTCTGCAGAGAAACGATTGCTTTAAATCCTGCTAGATTACTGATTTGGTTTTCCTGATAGGTTTGAAAATGTAAGACGTCCAGAACTAAACAGGAATTTTCTTTTGCTCTACCTTAATTCTCCATCATAATCTTCCAAGAAATTCTGACAAAGGGACAGTTAGTTATTGGACAGGCATTCATGGAGCTGGATTGTTTTTCTTCTTTTTCATTTGTGAATTATTTACATTTCCAATTTTGAATGAGAACATTTACCCACACCACAGTGAAATATCTGTCATGATAACAAGTTTCCAAGGTATTTCTTGAATCACTGCAGTGTTGACCTTTCAAATAGAACCCAAATCACGAATGACATAACAGATTAACACCGACTTTGTCAGTCCAAAGTAGAGTAAACAATTTGGTCGGCGTTATTGTCATATGTTAGTCATTTTGAACCGTGGATCTTTTCAAAAAATAGAAGAGTTCCTCACATAAGACAAGCAAACAAAACAGGTCTTGCTATTGTATTCAATATAAATCCTCTTCATTAGATTTATCCCCACAGACATGTAATGGACGGGATCCCTCTGGAGCTTATTACTGGTGATGGTGGAGTAAATCCAGCAGAGCAGATGATGATGTCTCTTTACTTAAACCTCTTAAAACATTCTTAAAATCTTGGTGGTGATACTGTTTGACTTTGAAAAGAAAACAAGCATTTTGCTCACAAAATCTGGCCACAGATGGATTTATGCGATGTTGGTCGGATATGATTACGTAAGTTGAACGAGATGAGCTCTCAGTTCAAGGAAAGCAAAAGTGATAAAGAGTACAAGAGTTCCTTAAGAATTGAGATTTACTAATTTTCTTTTCAGAGCTGCATTCAGGTCACAAGCAATTGTCCGTGTGTGTGTGTGCTGCTCGGATGAGAAGTCTCCGCACTTGGCATTCATAGTAAAGATCTCCGTACTGTACTCACCTTATTATTAAAAGCAGTCTTGTGATGTTATTATACAAAGAAAAAAAACCTGTCCGAATGCATTTTCATGATACAGTTGACAGCTGTTGGAGCATCATTGTCGGTGTTACTTGCAGGAAGCCAGCTGGAACCAAGTAAAAATAACCGGCAAACTTTTTTAAACCGCAGTAACAGTTAAAGATGATGAGCTCTTGAAACACATCCTGGAAGACTTCCTGCACTCTTGTAGTTTTAAGGATGTGACTTGTGGCAATTGTACCTTGTTTCTGTTACACAGTGTTGGTGCAGGGGCTGTCATCCAAGTCCATCCAAGCTGCCCTGTGAATCTTTACATCAATAAGTAAAAGCCTGCTCTTCTTTTGGCTTGGACGAATTTGAAGGTCTTGTTTACACTTGAAAATATGTTTCCAGTTCAAGAGAGCGGTAGGCGCAAATGTTTGCAGCATGAAAGGTGTTTTGCAAATGTGTCACTGTCCAACAACCACAAAATGTCACCATGAAGTATGAGTCACTGCAAGCCAGTAACAAAGATGCAAACAGGGCAGGTTTTTAAACTGCATTCAATGTTTCAATGTATTGAAACAATTGTTTAGACATCAGAGATACATGCCATGGGTTTGGATGAGTAACACTGAATGGACATGTCATAACCTTTCTTGTCTTTGTGCTGCCTTTAAATATCCAAAAACCTTGGATATGGCAGCCTTCAATGAGTCAAATTACAATCTCAATTACATTTTGAACAAAACAAAATACATTTTCTTTGATAGATATATACTTTATTAATACCCAAGGGGAAAAGTGTGTGCAATAGCAGCAGTCAGTAAATAAAATGAGAAATGGCTGCAGGTGTAAAGAGATCAAAACTCGTGGCTATCATAGTAAATTGAAATGCTACAAAACTCTAGAAGTACTTTGTTTGGTTTGGCAACAAATGAAAGTGGTTCATAGGCACACAAATAGCCGTCTCTTGGCTCAAAGGCCAATATTTTTTGGATTACATTGTCACACCTATGTGTCAAGTAACGCAGCTTGGTCATTGGCACTAATCTTCAATCTACAACGTGCTACGTACCCCTCAAATGACAGTTATCACTTGTCAATGTCGCCATGTGGATATAATCTATGCATCAGGTATTTCAAGATCCCCTTTGGTCTTCAGAGAAAGCAAAGTTAAGGCAACAAAACTGGGCAAGGTTTAGTTAAAGAGCATTGTTCAATGTCACAGGATTGACAAAGCAAACAACTCTAATGACAATACACTTACTTTTACTTTTACATGGGACACCTGGGGGAAAGTCCTGTGTTTTGACCTTTCCACAATCCTTCTCACCAGTCTCGCATTGATTATCGCGCCCCTTTATACTACGTCAAATGAGCCGGGGTTGGTGAGTTACACACAAATGCCAAGGAGCACTGCCCCAGCTTCATTATTGTCATTCTCCAAATAGACAATAAGTGCATTCAACAGGCTCAGGACAACAAGAATCAAGAAAGTACAATTTCTTCAGGAAAGAAAAATAACAAAGTGCTCTAAGTGCTAATAAAGTGTTATCTAGTCCAGGTATAATCGGTAGAGGTGGGTTTTTAGTTTGCTTTGGAAGGTGTATAGGCTTTCTACTGTCCGGATGTCATTGGGGAGCTCATTCCAACATTTAGGAGCCAGGACAGCAAACAGTTGGGAGGTTGTTAAGTCTTTATCTCTCTGTGAGGGAGAAACAAGAAATGTGAGAAATTGAGTGTTTAAGTGTTTTGACTGGTTAAACACTATTCTGTTTTCATTGCATGAGACTGTTCATACAATACAATCTGTCTGCTACAAAGAAAAAAAGTAAATCAAGTATCAAGTATTCAACAACGTATGATGTAATTATTTATCTTTGTGTGCTGGACATCCAGTGCTGTCTAGGCTCTTAGTGTCTTTGAAATGTAACTACATCATTTTTTCAAAGCAGATCATAACCACACTGTTTTATTTTAGAGTCAAAAGGGATGCTTCACTCCAGGTAAGGGGACGTCTAGCGATCTTTTCTTCTAACCAACCACATTGGGTACAAACATTCTTACCTTTTGAGGAAAGTTGGCTATCCAAGACTATTTCATTGAATCTGTTAAAAGCGATCCCCAGATATAGTAGATTACTGCTCTTGCCCTATTTGGTGCCAGATCCACTAATCCCTCTTACTGTTTCATAATCTCTGGCCGGCGGATAATGCGCCTGATGTTACGTAAGAGTTTTTTTTCTTATTATTTGTTTCTAGCCCTTCTATTTTCGGTTATTTTGACCGAATTGTATTAATAACCTTTTTTCCAATGACTTGTATTTGATCGCTTTGAGACAGAAATTAAAAAATAAACTTGTTTTGAAAAACAACGCAGTAATGCTGATGATGTGCAGGATGTTTCACTAAAGTGAAACAAGCACAACTCCTCAGAAATTCCTTAGAGTCCGACTTATGTCATCTCTGGTGCTATTCTGCTTTCGTTCACACAAGAGCAGTGCGTTATTTTTTTTTCACCGTTATGATGATGGATTCCTCTTTGATCCGCATGACTCAGTTGTTCCCTGCTGATGCAGCCAGGAGGTTGAGCGTGAGGGGGAGGAAGAGTGAAAGCGTATCGGTCAGCCAGAAGTGCTGTGTCAGTAAAAATCTACCATCCTGAAGTCACAATCGGTCCATCAGTCCACTTGACCAAAGTGATGTGTTGTCTTTACTTTGCTTCAACTAAGAAATGTAAGATGGATGTACATCTCTGCTCCAATTTTTCCTATCATCAACTCCTCTTTCTATCCGTTCCCAGAGTGTATGCATTTGACAGCCTATAGGTTCTTAGCTGCGGAAATGCTATCTACACACACTGTTACACTTGAGCCAGCAAGCTTGACAGCTGTGCACAATCATTACATTACATGTCATTTAGCGGACGCTTTTATCCAAAGCGACGTACAATAAGTGCATTCAACCATAGGGTACAAACTCAGGAGAACAAGAAAAAAAAAAGTGCAATTTCCTAAAATAAGCCAATTTACAATTTGCTATAAATGAGTGACGTTACAAGTACAATTTAAGTGCTACAATTTGTTAGTCTTTAGACGAGGTAGAGTCTGAAGAGGTGTGTCTTTAGTTTGGGGCGGAAGATGTGAAGGCTCTCTGCGGTCCTGGTGTCTTCAGAGAGCTTGTTCCACCATTTCGGCGCAAGAACAGCGAAGAGTCGAGATCTAGTTGAGTGTTTTGCTCTCAGTGAGGGAGGGACGAGTAGTTTTGCAAATGCAGAGCGGAGAGTGCGGGTTGGGATGTAGGGTTTGACCATGTCCTGGATGTAAGCTGGACCCGATCCATTCACAGCATGGTACGTGAGCACCAATGTTTTGAACTGGATGCGGGCGGCCACCGGTAGCCAGTGAAGAGAGTGGAGGAGTGGAGTAGTGTGGGAGAATTTCGGAAGGTTGAAGACCAGTCGAGCTGCTGCCTTCTGAATGAGCTGCAGAGGTCGAATGGCGGTGGCAGGGAGACCAGCCAGGAGGGAGTTGCAGTAGTCCAGGCGGGAGATGACAAGAGCCTGAATCAGTACCTGCGCTGCCTTCTGAGTGAGAAGGGGACGTATTCTCCTGATGTAATAGGGCGTGTATCTACAGGATTGCGTTGTCCGCGGTGATGT